GATGAAGATGACTTCTGCCTCAAGAAAGCTGAAATAGACACAGCTTCACCCACAGTAGTGGAGAGCCATTATGCCGATGAAGATGAAGATGACTTCTGTCTCAAGAAAGCTGAAATGGACACAGCTTCACCCACCTTAGTGGAGAGCCATCATGCTGATGAAGACTTGGATGACTTCAGTCTCAAGAAAGTAGAAATGGAGCAGCCATTCATGGGCCCTCCTGGAGTCAAATCCTTCTCAGATGAAGAGGAAGAGGAAGAAGAAGAGGATGAGCAAGTAAGGGGGGGCATGGACAGTGTCCCTGAGCGTCCTGTCGAACACCACATGGACTTTGGCCTTGAGCAAGCTGCCAGTCATCACATGGATGTTCATCATCAACTCACTTCTCAAGAAGCGGAGGAGCAAGAGGATGAAGATGTTGAGATGGTTAGTGAGAGCTTTATGGAGACTGGCATCAAAAGTGCTGGAAATGTTGATGAAGATGACTATGAGGAAGGTTATATGGACAATTTGAACCGCACTGCTCCTGCTCCCTCTATGCCCATGACTACAGCTTGGGGCCCATCCAACCCCTTTGCAGACACTTGGGCCCAGCCTGCTTCCATCCATATGACATCCGAACCTTTAGACATCGGTGCAGCTGATCTGGAAATGCCTGCAAAGTCCCCTGCTGAAGCCTGGCTGGAGCAACCTCTGGGCCAGTTAACTGAACCGCCCCTTGAGGTCCGTGAAGAGATGGAGAGCTCAGTCCCAGCAGATGGCTCGACCCTGGGTGCACCTGTAGTAGGTATGTCTCAGTCAAGCACCTTAAGTGGAGCAGCCTTGGCAGCCCACAGCAGCAGTGAGACAAGCACACCTGAAGAGCTTCGGGACTATGACAGCAGCTCAGGTGTGGAGTCGCGCTCGGACAAGCAGCAGACTCCTGTGCCTGCAGCCCAGCCTGACCTGGAGCAGGACTTAGGAATACATCTGGAGCGTGGGGATGGTGAGGAGGAGGAGGCAGAGACACTCCCAGCAGATGAGGTACTTGGGGATGCTCCAACAGCACCAGCATCTGCTCCGTCCTCTCCTTCTACCTCTGGGGATGAGGCCAGTGATACTGAAGGAGAGATGCAGATCAATGACCCTGATGTTCCCGTAGATGACTCTGCAGCTTTCGACAGCCCTTCTGCCTCTCGAAATCTCCCTGCCTTGGAGGAAGATGAGGAGGCTGCCGACATGCAGGCTGGAGAAGAAGATGGTGGCGGCACGCCACAGTCTGCCAACTCTGTTGCCTCTTATGGCTTTGACTGCTCAGCATCCAACTCCAATGCACATTCTACAGCTGAGAGCTGCGGGAAGAGTCCCGGCATCTTCTCCCTGGAGAACGAGGACCAGCTTCCCGAAGAGGCCAAAGATCCCTCGCTCATCAAGGAGCTGACCCTGCCAGCTGCAGCTGCCCACCCTGAGGAGCTGTTGGGCTGCCCTGTGGACCTGCTTCCCCTGGGCCAGCAGGGGGAGTCGCATATCGGTCTGGACGACGACTACCTGATGTGCGGAAAGACGGGAGCCAGTGCACTGGAGGAGGCTGACCCTGAGTCACCCATGCACCTCTCGCCCCAGCACGGGGGCAACACCGACAGCCAGCCACCTTACTACTCTGCCATATGCGATAAGACTGATAGCTTTCTGGCAGGTAACGTATAAAATCCCTCCTTTCGGAATGCACCGTTATCTTCCCCCATCCCCTGAGAAAACCCCACCCCGCTCCTTTTTTGTCATTTTGTTTTCTTACAAGATGAGGTAATTGCGTAGAAAACAGGGAGAAGACATGATAATGGAGTAAAAAAAAAAAAATTAGGGACATTGGGGGAGGGACTGTAGGTTTGTCAGTGCTGCTTTCCCTTTCTTACTACTATTATAGTCATGGTTATGATTGTATGGCTTAAACTTCTGTATGTACAATAGGTATTCTCATTTTCTATTAGAATGTACTTCAGTAACACTGCATACTATGGCACCCCTGAACTTGGATTGATAGACTGAGATGTTGTGAAGTCCTTTAATGAAAAAGGAAAAAACAAAGATTTAAAAAAAAGAAAAGAAAAGAAACACATTGGATGGACTCTACCTGTGTTTGTATTTATCCTACTGTTTTTACCGAACAAAATGTCAAATGATTTTTTTATACTTTTTTTTATTGTTTTTATTTGTTTTGTCGATCCCTGTCTTGCCTACCGTTTGTACATGTCAGTTCTCCTGCACTGTAGAAGTAGCCTTAAACCCTTTTTTTAAAATTTATTCCTGTGTCAAGAACTAACTGTTTTAGCACTAACTAAGGTTAGATATTCTTCCAGAGGCTTTGCACTTTGGGTGTTTTCGATGTAGGGAGTTATTGGAATGTTAGATGGCAAGCCATGTTTCATTTTTACATCTTTTCCTACTATAAAAACAAAAAAAAAGGCACATTTTTGTGAAGGATAACTTTATCATGGCGCGTAATGTCACATACCACAAGTGTTTTTAAAGTACTTGAGTGATCTGGCTTTGTTGATTTGCAGTAGTTGGACATGTTACCTTGGATCAAACTAACTATTTCTGTTGGAAAACAAAAATTTCACAACTTTTCTACTCACTTGAATGTTGCTGGTGAGTACTGGACATTTCGATTGGAAATTGCATGTGGAACTAATGAGACTGTAATATGATTCAAGATCTGTTATGTCAGGATGATCATAAATTAATGGTTCACTAATCAGAAGGTTTTTTTTTTCAAAATTCCATTAAACAGCATTGCAAGGCCATCTGTTCCCGTTTCTTATTTCTCTGTAGGGTAACATTAGTACACACAGTTGGGATTTTAGACTTCTCCCAAGTGTTGGGAAGTCGTCCCAGTGGAGCATTCCCATGATGTCTGAATGGGAACAGGAATGGTGTTACTTCCTAATGGAATTTTGATGAAATGACAAACCCAGGTGTCCCCACCCATAATCTCCGGCATGTACTTTGTGTTTCTGGCTACCCTAAAATGTCAACAAATCCCTTCCTGCAAGAAGAACCTGCACAGCCAGACGTGTATGAAATCTCACTACTGGTCATCCTGTTTTGTCCACTGGTATACAGCTGTGGGAATGTCTTGGTATTCTGCACGCTTAAGAATCCTCTCTGATCCTTAAGGAATGTAGCTTTCCAAAAAAGTAGTCCACACATACATGCACATGATCCAGCACATGCCTGAATGTATCCATGCCTGTGAGAGATAGTTTTAGGATAATTTCTGCAGAAGAAATCTTCTTCCTTTCTCTCTGTCTGTCTCTTTTCTCCATGCCCTTTGTGTCCATTTAGCCAGTGAATGACCATCTCTGCAAACCAGTCTGACCCCCTCTCCTTGCACTGCCTTTTGTCTCTCACTACAAATCTAGTCATTTCATGCTCAACTGAGAGATTTTCAGTCACAGTCTTTGTGGTAATGATGATGCAAAATACGGGACTATGGGATTTAGCGCTAACCTCTTGTGCAGTGATACAATACTATCTTTGATTTATCTGGAAAATATTTTACAGCAGTTATTGTTCATCCATATTTATGTTCATTAACATATTCTTTTTTTAAGTAGCTTTATAAATGACGTATAGGATACATCTGTTAGGGAGGGTTGAATGCACTACATTTATTGGATACAATACCGTCTTTGACTTGTCTGGAAAATATTTTAGAACTGCTAATATTCAGATGTATTTGTGATCACTAATATTTTCCACAGTGAATCTGTTGTTACTTAATTAGCTGTATGTATTAAGTAAGGTGGAAAAGGTCAGTGAGCAGAGTTGAACTCTTTAGAAGGGTACTGATTGCAGCTTTATTGAATTGATTGTTGTGAAGGTCATTCTGACTGGTCTGCTTTTAGATACTGTCATATGTCTACAAGTTTTATTTCTCCGATGCCTTAAGCCTGCACTATGTATGTTCTTTTTCTGTTAAAATTCACAACAGTAGCATTAAATACCTCACATCTCATTCACAAAATGGTTCTCTAAAGAACAGTTGAAAGGTATTTAGAGAACCAAAAGTGTTTTTTTTCTATTGCACCATGCAAAGAACCCTTTTCAGAGTGTATATGGAGTGTTAGTTGAAAGCATTCATCTTTTTCCTGACCTGCTCTGAGTGTGCACATTTCCAGAGGGAGGGAATTGTACCTCTTGAGGGTAATCCAAATCTGAAAAAAAACAAGTGAAATGCTACATCATGAATGTAAAGCAAGTACTAGGTTGACCTTTTGCACTCATGCAACAGAAATAATGTTTTGCCATCTTCAGTTTTGATGTCTTAGTCTTTGGCTGGAAGGCAGTGAATGGGGGCCAAATTACAATTTGTAGCAAAGCGAGCGCCAGTGTGTCTCTACAGAAGTGGAACACTTAAATGGCTTCAGATCGCTACCTCCTTTTTTTAAATTTGTATTTGCCTGGTGAGGTTTTTTCAACATTGCAAGAAAGATAATGTCCTGGTTATTTCTTAAATACATGGCACAATGCTACTGTCACTGTTTTGACAGAGAGGATAGTAATTTAGTTTGCTGAGCAAATTTCCAGCAGCCTGAGGTCAGCCTTTGGAAAGTTATCTGATCCAGTCTTGGTCTGTTTTTCATTAAGTCCCTGAAATAGAAAATAAAATGATCAACCTCCAGGAGATAATCTAGTACAGAAGTCAGAATCTGATGAGATAACTTGGGGAAAAAGGTTATTCTGTATGCTAATTCCAGTACAGGAGTTTTTGTTTTTCTTGCACATTCAGTAAAATGAAGGACTTGCTAATCACTTTAGTTAAATCATCTGTAGCTTCTGTTCAGGGTGGAGAGCTTGGTTCATGAAAAGAACCTTGTTGGTGCTTCCCTTTTAGTAAAGACTTGCTTCGATATATTCAACCATCATTAGTCCATTGACCATTAGATCACAGACAGGCTCTACAGCACATTTTCACAGTATTCTTGGTTGAAGTTTTGTCTTGTGTGTTATGTTTTTTTTTTGTTGAGTTCTTTATATTTTTCTGAATTTAATTTGTGAAGTGCTGTGACCATCTTTCTCCTGCCGTGGTCTGCATGCTCCTTTCAGTCTGGTTCCATTTTTTTTCTCCGTCTCTTCCCTTTGGTCAACCCCTCTTTGTCATATGTGCCTCTGTCAGTAATGCATATTGCAAGTGCTCTTGACTGTTCCACAGGGCACGATAACCTGCCTCTAGTGAACCACTGGGAGGTAAAGAGTGGCAGCCTGCCTTCACTTACTCGAGAGGTCAACGACAATCACTACTTCCCTCCAGTGCAGAACAGCCACCGGCAGCTCAAATCCCCTTTGCCACAACAGCAGCAGCAGCCTACTAGTCAGGGAATGGAGCTGGTCAAGGTGTCAACTGACCTTCCTAATGGGCAGCTGAGGCGGCTGGAGCAGCACCAGCTGCAGCTGCACCAAATTCAGGAGCGGCAGGAGCAGGAGAGGCAGAAGCGCTTATGGCTGGAGGGTGCAAGGCAGCGACTAGAGCTTCAGAGGCACTTGCAGAGGCAACAGAGGTTGCGGCACGAGGAAGAGATGCAACAGCTGCAGCTGCAGAGGCAGCAGCAGCAGCGACAGGAGGAAGAGAGGGAGCTTCTTGAGCTGCAGAGGCAGCAGTGGCAGGAGGAAGAGAGGAAGCAGCTGGAGCTGCAGAGGCAGCGGCAGGAGGAAGAGAGGCATCGGCTGGAGCTGCAGAGGCAGCAAGAGAAGCAGCGGCTGGAGCTGCAGAGGTGGCGGCAGGAGCAAGAGAGGCAGCAGCTGGAGATGCAGAGGCAGCGAGAGAGGCAGCGGCAGGAAGAAGACAGGCAACAGCTAGAACTACAGAGGCAGCGGAAGGAAGAAGAGAGGCGGCAGCTTGAACTGCAGAAGCAGCATCAGGAGGAAGAGAGGAAGCGGGTGGAGCTGCAGAGACAGCAAGAAAGGCAGCAGCTGGAACTGCAGAGGCAGCGGCAGGAGGAAGAGAGGAAGCGGCTTGAGTTGCAGAGGCAGCAGTTTGAGCTGCAGAAGCAGCAGAAGGAGAAAGAGAAGCATCAGATGGAGATGCAGAGGCAGCAGTGGCAAGAGGAAGAGAGGCAGCGGCAGAAGCAACTGGAGAGGCAGCGGCGAGAGCTACTGCAACTGCAGCTCCATCAGCAGCAACAGGAGCACAGGCAGCGACGGCAGCTCCTGCAGTGGCAGCTGGAGCTGGAGCAGCAGTTCCGGCTTAAAATGCAGCAACAGTCAAAGACGCCGTCACCCTCATCCGGCCTCTGCACCATCTATGAGGCCATGGAGACCAGCGAAGACGAAGATGAGGACAGAATTCCACGTCAGGACTTCCCAGGAGAGCTGCCCTTGCGGGCTGCCAATGGGAACCTCCGCCGTCCGCCTCCACGGGAGCTGGACTGGAACACAAAGGTGGATATGGTGCAGCAACTAATCAACCAAGCCCTGCTGCTGGAGGGTGAAGACGGCTGCCCGCCGCTGCTTTACTTGCCAGGGCAGGGAGGGGGCATCCTCAGCCCACTGGAGAGCAGCCTCTGGCCCCACATCCTGCCTCAGCTCAGTCCCACATCTGCCACCATCACCTCTGTTAGCAGCTACTCTCCGACCAGCCAGGGCAGCTCGCCGCAGGGTGACTGGACCGTAGTTGAGCTCGAAACACACCACTAAGAAGTACCTATGGAGCTTCAAAATGCAATGCTACAGAGTGGAACCAGACAAATATGAAAATTGTTACCAAATTTGGCAAGATAATTTTAACATAATATTTGTAATATTTCTCTGGTAAATGATATGAACCCTCATATTGATGACCTCTCAATGTATAAAGAGACATTATAAGTTGTTTTTTGGCTGGACTTTTGCCACTGCTGATAAATCTACAAACTCTCAATACTGACGGAATTTATTGACCAAAAGATATCGGTCAAGCCCTACTACAGACAAGTGCTGGTGTATCAGTGGACTTTAGTGCAGGCCAGTTCCATTGTCTTACATTAATCTGCTCTTAACTGTGAATAGTCCACTATGCTTCTCACATAGACTTGCACTTGATCCACTCTAAGGCAATGTAGATGGGGGAATCTATATCCACTAGCAACAGTTATACTCTGCTGTCTGTTTTACAGTCTCATTTAGCTATTTGGTGTCACCAGTATTTATTTATTTATTTACTTATTTATTGTTGGTGGGTAGACATCAAAGATCAGTCTCAGATTTGTCTTACAGTACCAGTCAAACATTTGGACACTCACTCAATCAAATATGTTTACCATTTTCCACATTTTAGAATAATAGTGAAGCAAAGACTGTATAGTAAGAGGAGACTGAAAATGATTGGGATAATTTTTAACAGGAATGCGCTCAACATGGTGGCTGTACTGCGGGAAGACTAACCCTTTAATAAACACAGCCACTTGCCCTGGTGGTAAAGGTGTTAGCAGGAAAGCCCTCTCTTGTTGTGGAGATATGCAGTAGCCACAACAATAGGAAAAAAAACAGCATGTTTTTGTGTTATTTGAGCCAAACACTACTAATTATTCATGCCATTTTTACCAGTCACTTTAAATGCATTTTTCAAACAATGTGAATTTCACCTTTCAGTTTATAGGTCTCTCCCCATTCAAGAAGATAGGAGCTTCATCTTGAATGACTGGAAATAACTGACCCGTGGTGTTCCCAAGATGGCTGCTGAATGAATGGACTTTTGTATAAGTCAGCAAAATTATGAAATAATGAATGAAAATTATGAAACGCATGAAATTATGCAGCGACCAAAAAATGTTTTTAGACTCTTAAAAGAAAAAGAATGCCTTGATGCAGCTTTACACACTCCTGGCATTCTCTTAACTTTGTGAGGAGCCATTTGGGATGTTTTTCTGACTTTTTTTAGTCTTGAACAAGTTCCCGAGCACTTGTTGGCTGATTAAAACTTTCTGGGGGGCAAATCAAAAATTATTTTTAGATTTTAAAATTTAAATACACTCATGGACACCATCTGCATAATTCATATTTATTTCAAGCATTTAACCATTAAGTCTTTGCCTTGAAATGTCTTTAAGATGATGGAAAACACAAGCAGATGTGCCCAAACTTTTGATTGGTACTGTAGTTGATCATACGATCTGCTTTGGCTTTACCCCATCGGCCCACACCCTTCTGTATTTTGGACGTGCCCTGCTCCAGACAGCTGCCAGTATGACACTAGCGCTAGTGGTCTGATCTTACTAAAGCCCAGTTGTTCCCAGTCCTAATCTGCACCAGACAACTGCCTCTGCTGATGGAGAAGGTCAAAGATAAAGCTGTGGATCCCATATCCTGCAGCTGTAAGCTAACATTGCCCTATATTTGCACTTATGTGGGTTATTAGATAAATCCATGCATTATACATAGAATCATAGGTCAATTTATAGTGCCTATCACACGTTCAGCTTAGCATGCACCACATTCATCCAGATTTAACACAAAATATGCGACTGTAGGTAATACCATAAAACATTGTGTACATACTCTTGTAACCCATCAACATGACACAGCTTGTAGGGTATGAACCAACACAGGATCATTTTTATTAGGAGTGCCTAATCTAGGACCAGTAATGGCTTCGGAGGAAAGGGCAATCCTGCAGTTCACTGAAACCTCACCAACGTGTCCTTACCTGAATTTAGCCTGCTGGGTGGGGACTGTTCCTGACAGTGTGTCATCAGCTTTCAAGATGTTGCATGTATTTTTATTTTTAATAACAGGAACTGAACTGTATCCTACATGCTATTGAACAAAATACATATAGCCAGCTGGCCAGCTAGCTAGCAATGTAGCTAATATTGAGAATACATATACTTAGTTAGCTAGCTAGCAAGCTAGCAGTATAGCTAATATTCTTCCATTATGAAAACATTGTTAAATTCAGGACAAGGACATGAATATTGAAGGGGAATTCTTCTCATTTTAAACATTTTGGTATAATTCAGTTATTGATATGTAAACAAAGTCATTCAGAGTGGTTAGATGTGAAATGGTTTCTCACTCAGATTTCTTTAGCTACGGTGGCCATTTTATTTACTATCCAAAAAAAAAGGAAAAATGTCTTCTTTTGAGCCGATTTTGCCTCACGGTGCCCTGCAAACACTATGAATGGCCTGGTTAGAATATGCTTTAGGCCAAAATTTTATCGTAGAGCTATTATAAAACCATGTTTCAGGTCTCAGGCAGTGCATTCAGAAAGATTTTTTGCAATAACAAAACAACTGAACAATTCTGATTTAAGGATCTCTAGAAAGAAGCACTTCCATGACCATAACTGAATGACCGTTTACATCTGAACAATTTATTTATAAAGAAAATTCGAAATGTATGTGGAATTCCCCTTTAAAATTACTGAAAATGTTTGGAATAACTTTCTAATAGAAATAACTTTACAACTTTTGCCTGATTGTGGCTTTAAAGGGAGCATGTGCTGCTCTACTTGCAACACAATGGAACTGTAAATGTACAACTTTATACCGTTTAGCTTTAAGTGATAATCATGCAGTCATATAACATTTAACTCATTATAAGCAGCTTGTGGTTTAAGTGGCTGGCGAAGCTGCCTGTTCTGAGCTGTTTGACACCCATCATACTCTTTCTCGAGGCCTATAATTGCCTTTATATAACTTTGGTAATAGCATTAATCTACACAGTAGATCTAACTTTTTTGCTGGTGTTCACAGAAAACCTTGTATTTCATCTATGTTTTTTCAGATAGGGATTGACTATTTTTTAAAGAATTTATCATGAAGAAATGAGGAACATTCAGGGGACATAAAGCTGAATGTTAGTACCATTTTCTCAACAGAGACTTCAGTTTCAGTTAAACGGATATGATGAAGCACAAAGGTTATAGAGCACAAATTGCACATCATGTTTTTCCCCACTTCAGCTTCTAAACTGTCCACATAATACCACCCCAGTATGCTTCTGTGTATAATCAAGCCGTATATCTATATAACAGTATTCTATCTAGAATCTATAGACATACTGCAGTAGATATGTGCAGTCTCAGCCTGTGATTGCAGCCTGCTCTCGAAAGGCCTGCACATTTCAGTGTCTGGCAGTGTCTCCTTAAGTTTTTAATTGTTGTGCTTTTGGTTGAGCAGTATAACTGGCTGTAAATAAGCAAACTGTAGCAGTGTATCAGATGTCAGTGAGTCTATTGAGTCTATTGCATTTGTTTTGGAAGAAAAACGAGAAGACTTACAAGCACTTTAGACAGAACTGCACTAATGACTGCTATGGGAAAAGATGGATGCTGTGTGTTCTTTCTCTCTCTCTCTCTCTTTCTTTCTCTCTCTCTGAAAGGGGGAATTCTGCTCTATGTTCTTTCTCAACATTCCTCAACCGTTACCTCATTTCCTGGGTCCCTTTGCCTCAATGGGTTTCCCGGGTTACCCGATGATGTCATGGTAACAGATAAAGGAGGGGAAGGTGGTGGTGGTGGTGTTGGGGGGTGGGTGTCTGAAAGACAGATCCAATGGAACAAACCCTCCAGAGAAAGAAAAAGGCAGGCCTGATCTCACACTGGGCCTCTACACCCTCCGCCAGCGGTCAATAAGTTTGGGGCATACGGATATTTTAGTGCTCGCAATATACGCTCATCATGCCCTCCGAATCTGAACAAAAATGATTTACTAGCCTCGAAGTTTCAGCTTATTCAGTCGGGATAGAACAAAATGAGTTATGTCAACACTGTGTTTCAGTTTGCTGCATTCGCTAAGATGTAACATGTTCAAAGCACCATTTTTTCACATCCGCTAAAAGTGCTAAAAATTAGCGGCATGCAATAAAGCCAGCCTAAATGGAGGAATTTGGCACGATTGGTATCAGATTAAACATTACTAATGATTTAGGCTTATGAACATTAGCAAAGTAGAAAAGATATGTTCAGTCTATCTGAAAACAGCTGGAAAACAGGCCTACGCGTCGTAGCCAAGACAACCCAAAAAACAACAAACTCAAAATGTGAAACTAGATCAAACTGAAAGATTATAGGCTTTTAATTTGTTGTCACATCCTTTTCCCACCAAACGAGAACGAAGCTAAGGCTCCAATAATATCATGAGGACCATCTGCCTTTCGGCTATCTGATTAGCCTGGTTAGGTAGCACCATTAGAGCAGAAGATTCCGGTTCTAAAATGTGATTAGATGAGCCACGTTCAAAGCCGTTATTCAAAGTCTTGGCCGAATCCTGTATAGACCTCTGAAGTCTGGATCATTCTGTAGTCAGAGTCAAAATAAGCCTAAATAAGCAGCTTTTCTATCTGGGAACAATGAATGCAGTTTTTACAAATCAACTTCATATTCTGTGGTACAAAAAAAGCTCCAAACCAAATACGTTTTGTCTTACACACATTTTCCTCAGTATTTTACTGGGTCCTCTGATTTACAAGGTCATAGGAGGAGGTGAAATATGAATAATGCTAACAAGCTAACACGGCTGCGCATTGAATTAGCATTGAGAGAAATGAAAGTCCACTATTAAACTTCAACACTATTATATACCAACATCAGCTACTCAGACTGTAGCCTTTTACTTAACTACCACATTTGACAAAGCTAGCTGGTTTGTATGGGGTATTTTATTAAAGTTGCTGTCGATTCAAAATGCCGCACTGTTAGCTACAAGTAGCAGTCACATTTCTCCTCTAATGACCTCTTAATGTCCATATTGGCTCTGAAGCATTGTGGTTCACCACAGGCTGTGATAGCTGATAGCGACAGATCGAAAACCACTGTTCTTTTTTCCTATAGACGAAATATATTTATATATCGCTGCTGTTTGGAAGAAAACCTTGTATCTCCATTTTTGTTGCTTTTGAGTTTTTGGCATAATTTGAAAATACATGCTGCCCTTTATATTGTGTGTAAATTTCATGATGAATGGACCAACAGAAAAGCCCAAAATGACTTGGAAAAAAGTCTGGTTGTACTGACTTACATTAAAAGTAAGGTAGGTCTTTTCCTTTTCCTGCAAAGTTATCATTTTAGAGATATTATAAGGTAAGAATATTATAAGATTATAGAGGTTTTCTTCCGACAACAACGTTATATACATAAAATATATGTTTTTTTTCCTATAAAACAAGCTCAGACCCGGAGTTCCTAATATGGGTGAGATGCTGACTACAGAATGACTTCAGAGGACTTTTCATGTGACAACCCTGCTGAAAAAGGACTGTTAAAAACCATCAGGATTAAAACCTAATGATTTTGCTTTCTAATGGAAATTGGCTTAACGGGACCCCCAGTTTCCTGTTGAACACCTGCAGATCCATTTAGGAAACCATCAAATGCACTCAGAATCAGTCATTGGTTACCTGTTAAACTATCAGGATTCTGATCCTGTACAGTGATATCAACCCATTAAAAGCCAGAACACATTACAAAACTGCCAAGAACCAATAAAAACACTTAATTGTTTATATGAGCTTTTTCAGCAGGGAAGTTACTAGGCAACCATAGCACACTGTTAACTGAAAAAATGTTATTGTGATCAATAAATGTAGTTATTTTTGAATGCTAATAAAATCACTGTTCGGCCTGTCGTGCCTTACCGCTTTAGGAAACTTTAAAATGTGTATCTGGATGCTGCGAAGGCCGCAGGAGGGTCTTGGCTCTGGAGGGTAGGGTGTGGTTTTTGGACAGGGCTGAAGAGAGCCCATCTGCGGCTCAGCGGGTGGTGGCACTCGGCTCTTCCTGCACTTCACAAGAGAAGAGTTTTATTTAAGCAGTGCCGTACATCACAGCTGAATCTCAAACAGCTTCTCAAATTGAACTGAATCCCAACAGTTGGGCACATTGCTAGGGAGTGACCCCTCCACCCTGCACAGCATACTAAGCACACATGGAGTAACGAGCTGAATGAAATTCAGGTTCTGTACATTTCTGTTTTCCGATATTCTCTTTGTTTTGTCGTTTTAAAGCAGACACTTATATAGGCTTTTGAATTGTCTACTGCACAAAGACAAAGGGACCTTTGAGAGTATTTCATGTGTTACAGTACTGCCACCTTCTGGCTCAACAATGTAATGACATTACAGTGCTGCACTCAGTGAAGATCCTGTATTTTTAATTTGACAGTGTATTTCTGTGACAGGTAATAGACTTTATGAGGATCAATATTTAATTATATAAATATGTGCATAATTTATTCTGTGTATGTGTCTATGCAATGATGTAGCTCATTACAACAATAGCAGCTCGAATACTGGAACTGTGAACATTATACTGTAGTGCATTATACTAACAGATTTATGTGACTTTGTGTAGCATGATGCAATAACAATAGAAAAAAAGGGGTTGGTTGGCACAGGGGTTGGTTGTCATGGTGTTAATGTGTGGGTCAGAAAACGAACAAAAACGAGTAAAATCATTATAGAAATGTTTTTAAGGACTGATATTTAAAATGATGTAAGAGCCAATGATAAGTAAGGATAGGAGGCTAAGTAAATACAGACTTGCGTCTTGATGTGGGTGGGGCTGGTTGGCACATTGACTTTGGGCTTGGTTGGCACATGTGTCAGCCTGCCCAAGTGTACAAACATATGTTCTTTTATATCATACACTGCAGACATACTAAATAACCCAACTAGAATGCAATACTATAATATACAACAGTTTATTTTAAATGTACATTTATAACAAACAGTTATGTTATAAAACGTTGTTTATAATACATGCAATCAAATTACAATGTAATCTGATCATAATCATATTTCTGCAGTTATCTGATTCTTCAAATGGTCATGTAAACAATGTAGTCCTTATTAGATTAGAGTAAGATCTAGAAATCTAATTAAGAAATCCAATAAAGCGAGCTGGATTTTAGCTCAGTAATCAGATTTTTCAGTGCATGTAAACTCTTACTCGGATTTCTTTCGGATTTCACAGTCTGAGCATGTACGAAATGGACCGCAGTCCCGGAAATAAGCAAGCAGCGTTGCCATGAGATGGCAGCAAAAACATTTTTAAACCAACTACACGTTTGATGAAATGAAGGATTTAAATATTCTTCATCTTCTAGATGATGTATGATCACATTTTCAGGTAAAGTAGCTCAGTGTTTAAAAAAAAAAGCTGCATCATGAAGTTTGAGTTTTACATTACGTTTACGTCACGTCTTCTGTGAGTTTATTGGCTGGTTGGAAAGCAGAAATCTGATTACTCTCTGAATCATGTAGACCTGGAGTTTCCCATTATCTGATTACTCAAGTGCATGTAAACATGTTGATCGGATTACTGACAAAATCTGATTTTCTGCAGTTATCGGATTATTATATGCATGTAAACGCACTCACTGTTGAAATCATAGACTTTTAACATGGTGCCAACCATCAGCATAACATACACCAACTAACCCCATATTGGGTTTGGCTGGCACAATATAAATTTAGGCATGAATGAATGCACTACTTTCAGGAAACGTTTTCTGATATTGTAAGTGTCTGGTTTTATTCCTATATGAGTTATCCTAATATGTATTATGGCTGGAATATATGGCAGGGAGTGAAAACTGTGCCAACCAACCCAGCTCTCCGCTAAGCATTCTTTTATTTTCCACAAGAATTCAATCTTATGCTTTTCTATAACACAGAGCTTTTCAGTTTCATATAATTGAAATATGAATTTGTACATGAATAAGCGTTGACTCATATAAATGCATTTATACAAAGATAATATCCCTTTATATAGCATGTTGCAACATATACTGCTTGGTTCATTAGCAAATAATATATGTGGAAAGAGATTTTGTACTGAGATATATATTTACATGTATTTATGTTTACATAGTGTGCCAAGTAACATGTGAGTCTTAATTATATTTTTTCTGCGCTGTTTTATAATCACTGTATTTTGGTCCAGTTTGTGTGCAAAGTTTCTCCTTTTGGTTAAACAGGCTGCTAGAAAGTGCTGGTATTTGATGTCTCATTTATGCGGTTCATTTTGCACTTTAGTGATATAAATATTGATCATTTGCTCGCCAAATAGGCAATATTAATAACAATGATACCTGTAATATCGTAAGAATTATGGTTTTCTTTGATGTTGTGTGATTAATTTGTGTTTGGATTGTGTGCCATGCAAAGTACTGGTGTCCATATTGCTCTATTACAATAAATCCCTGTGGAGCACACAGGCCTTTCAACTCTGAAACGATGCGGTCATGTCGCCACTAGATGTCGCTGTCTACCAACCCATACACTGTTAAGACGCGCTCTGCACTGTGAATCTACCAGGTGGCCACACAATGCACTGTAAAGTGGTCTAGACTGTGAGGGTCCTGTAATAACAGAGTTCGCTTAATATATTTACTATTTGAGGGTCGCGTGCTTGGACAGAATGTGCATCACCTTCTCCAGGACTTTAGAGCTGCTCGCTGCAGGCGGTAGAGCTCGTGCAGCAGGTGACACCGATTTTTTTTTTTTTGTTAAGATTTTTAAAAATGCATTACGTCATCTTACGCTGACGTGAGACGGCCAAATACTATCTTACTTTTTAGACTTTCATCAGTTAGCAGTATTGCTACCACCAACGAGACATAAATGACCTCTAACAATACTAATAATACTACTAATAATAATTAAATGGACCAAAAGCAAACAAAAGTACTGCTAATACTACTAATATGCTGATAATAATAATAACAACAACAGGAAGCTACTACTACTGTTTCTTCTAGCTATAGTAATGCCATTACTATTCCAGTACTACTACACGTATTGACATTGCTAATAATAACAATAATAGGATATGAGTAATGTGGTAATAATAAAGACAGACATACAATTAACAGCAGTAGTACAGCCTAAAACCTGTACTGCTATTATAATAATAGTAATACCTTTCTAGTAATAGGCTGATGACCATAGGCTCATGATAATTATGTGTTGCTAATAATGTGATTATAATAATTATAGGCTCCTAATCCATGGGTCTATTAGAGCTTTATTAAATCGGCCAGTAGACCGTAAAATAAAATAGAATAAAATAAAATATTAAATCGCGTCTTTAGGCTTCGCATCAACAGTTGGTTCAGCCTGTTGTCAATAAAAGCGCGTCACGTGACTCCCTTTCACCCACCTGCATTCCGACAAGCCCCGCCCTTCTGTACTCGGATTGGCTGGTAGCTCATACTCACCTTTCTAGTACGCACCGCCTCGTGCTGAAGAATTTAATACTCACGAGCGCTCAGAGCGCATTCTAGAGCTGTGAGCATGGACCACTAATTCTAGCGCTGGAGGGCGGGGCTTTAGTGTTCTAGAACGGTAGACCGCTTGGGAGTATGAGCTACCAGCCAATCCAGAGTAGCTGGGCGGGGTTTTAGGATTCTAGAACGGTAGACTGCTTGGGAGTATGAGCTACCAGCCAATCCTCGCGCAGGAGGGCGGGGCTTGTCGGAATACGGGTACGGGGAAAAAACAGGCGAATCTCTCGTTCTGTATTGGGACTGAAGCCTCTGCCCGCCGCGGTCAGTTGAGGGGAAAACGCCAAAGAAGATACAAAACGGACCAAAACAACTGCAGCACGCCATTCAACTATAGTCCTGCATTTTTAAGCAGCATTTTCTCACAGACCACTCTACGCTGTAACGTCGTTTTGTCCCAACAATGGGGTTAGATACCCCTCACTGTCTGTGGACTTGAGCAGAAGGTGCCCCGGTGGGGTATCAGGAACAACTTCGTGTAATAGGCTAAGTACGTTAGCCTAGTCTGTACGTTATTTATCTTCAGAGCCACTGCTGGATAAAAGAGCAGTGTGGTGTGACAGGATGTCAACCTTGCTTCAGCCTTCCCATCTTTTTTTCTCATTTTAGCATGACTTACATTGGTCTGCAATGGTCTCTGTCAGGTTAGTCAGACTCCAGTAGTGACAAAGCAAACGGGAACTGAGGCTCGGTCAGCTTTGAAGCACCAGCACTGTCATCGGAGCAGCCACCATAACGACACCTGAGATGGCCAACAGCAACGACTCCGTTCAGGTAAGAAAATCTCGTGGGAAAAAAAACCTTCCTTCTCCAGCCTCCAGCCTAAAAATGAATTTTTGGCGAATTTGGAGCAGGCTTGGTTGCTTTTAGGTGAGCCTGACTCCGATAAAACTATCTAATAGCCTAGCAGCCTTAGGCGCACAGTAAAATAGCCTCATTTGTCACAGTGACTGTGACATTATTCTCTTACAGTGAAGTAAATTTCACTGCCAGTTCCTTTTTTTGGATTGTTGGGTTTGGCATTTTCCATTTCCCCATGCTTTCTCACCCTCCTTGATTCGTTGTCCTGTTTTGGTGTAGTTATGCTGGTTCACACACTCTAAATAATGGCAGGTGGTTAAGTACAGGTGAGGCTCAGGTAAACTGGCTACTGTCTTACACTGTATTAAAAACTTTTAAAATGATTTTGTAGAAAAACTACAACTTGATTACCTTAAAATGTTCATTTAAGCCCTTTAATGGCCAGGGCAGGCCCAAAGTGTTATTGCACACTTATATAATAAGCCTTAGTATTTAATAAGCCTGGGTTTTAAGGGGTTAATGATAAGACGAACAGGATTATAATGTGATCTGAACAACAGTGGTAAGTGGCATTAACAGAAGAGTAAGTTATGATTAAAAGCCTGCAAATAATAATCATGCTCTATGCCAATAGGTTTGCGGACATCTGCTCTTCTGAAATTTCTTCTGAATTTAAAGGTATTAAAAGGGAGTCTGTTTACTGCAGGAACACCCTCTGCTCTTCTGGGAAAAGGAGAGACTGTTCCTGGAGTCTGTTTGCTGCAGGAACAGCTTCTGCTCCTCTGGGAAGGCTTTACAATAGATGTTGGAACATTGTAATGAGGATTTGATTGTGTTCAGCAAAAAAGGAGCATCAGTGATGTCAGGTGGTGATGTTGCATGATTAGTTGTGGGGCACAAATAGCACTTCATCTCATCCCCAAAGTTATTGGAAGGGGCTCCATCTCTCCAGAGAATGTAGTTTCACTGCTCCATAGCCCAGTGATGGGGGGCTTTATACCCTCCAGCTGATGCTTGGGTTTGGGTATGGTGACTTTAGGCCCTTGTGCGGCTTTCTCAGAGCGTCTCATTGCTTTCCTCTGCACCTTAAAGCAGCTGATTTCATTAATTCAATGAAATTTATGGTTCCTGTTGGACAGTGCAGTGCAGCTTATTGCGTTTTGTTCTGGTAGCGTCATGCTATTACTTAGTACTTAGTGGAACGTTCTGCCTAATTTTTACTATTAGGATTTATCTTTTTTCATCTTTTTCTCACTCCTATACGTTTAACATGAAAAAGATCCCAAAAGCAGAAACCTGTGTATCTTAACCATGTCTTATAAACCTGATGCACCATTAAGTTACTGCTCCTCCTTTCAAGTGACCAGTAGAAATCACAAGATGTATCCAAATAATTCCTGTTTCCTCTGGCTCTAGGTTGTACTTTCTTCTCAGTCTAATCCTTTTTAACTGTGTGCATCATTGTATCACTTCTATCTGTTGAAGCTCCAAAAAGAGCCACAGTCACAGTCTCTGGCTGCCCTCTTGACCTCAGCTCAAACCTTGTGGCTCTTCTGCTGTGAATGTAGAGCCTCGGTGAGGTCACTCTACCCCTCTGTCCCACAGATGGCACGCTCTCTCAGAGAACGCCTCTGTTCTGCTACGCCAGTGGGAATGTTTAAATATTCAACACTGTGGCTCTCTGAGCCTGAGCCAGAAGCCTACACCTGACTCCAAGCAGGTCAAGCTCTGGAGAGTTTGACCTAAGCTGTGCAAAAGTGATGGAATGAAGTGGTTACCATATGCTTTCTTTACATGTTACTGCAGTGAGATAGGATTGATTCAAGCATCCACACAATCGCTCACACTGTCATCAACCCACATACATTAATTTCCTCATTTGTTATATGATAGCCATGTTAAAGGAACAGTTCATTAAGAAATCAAATGTACACAGTTTTGCTCGTACATCAGATGTAGTAAATCAGCCAAAACTGAACTAAAGAAGTTCACTTTCACTTCTATTATTAGCAGTTTCACAATGCAGACTTCCTGGGCAAATACATGATATGTGGTCAGTCAGGAGATACTCTATTATTGTCTTTAGTATTGTGGTTGTACTGTTTGTTTTAGATGAGTTTGCCAGCTTGCTAAGGGCGATGTTGTGGCGGCTGCACACAGTTAATGAACCCTACTGCCACAAGCTATGCCAGTTATCTACGCTTTTATGCTGCAGATCTGTATGCAGCACTATGCTGTGGCAAGTATGTGGTTATCTAATATAATTATGTTCACTTTTTTGTTTTTACTGTTTATGGTAGCTGGGTTAGCCAGCTTGTTTACTGCTATGTTAGCTCCTCAGCTAACCGCAGCTGCACACAAGTCAACCGATTATTGCCAACCACATCAGTTATCTACATTTTTTTGCCAACGTGCAGCACAGTACTCCTATGAGTATATAATTATTTGATATAATTATGCTCACTTTTGTTTCATTACTGTTTATGGTCAGCGAGACTAACTTGCTAACTGCACAAACATGGAGGACTTTTCTTGTCGTCCATCTTCTCGACCAGCCTCGGTCATGCCCGTTTGCAAACTTTAAATGTTACTGCAGCTTAAAGCTGGAAGAATACTTCAAATGACGATACCTACTTATACTGTATATATAGTATATATAGTATAAGTATACTTGGAAAGAACTTGATGTACGTCTCATCACCACTACAAGCTCGCTTCATGCAGTGGACCAGCTGCAGTCGGCGAACGGTCTCAGAACAAGTGGCGTGGTGATTAGGAGTGTGCACACCACATCATACAAAGCCAAACCACCGTGTTGTTTTAGCCAAAAAGACGTTTTGTTGAGAAATGTCGTGTTCGTTAGAAGTACACTGCCGGCTCATCACACACTTGTCTCAAACCATTCGAGTAGTTCAGTAATCTCAAACAGACTTGCTTATGTTTCTAGCACTATAAAGAGGACAGAGGTAATGCACTTTTGACTATTTTCTTATATGTAACATTTTGCACAATGCCAACTTATGGGTTACAAGCTTCCATTACTTGTTAGCTACATTAGCCTTGTAGCTTCAGTGCAAAATTAACGAAGCACACTTCAGACACCGAACATGTCTTGGCTGTTTGACTACATTTGGGGTCGGGGGGAAATTGTGTGAATTTATTTTTTCACCAAACTCTTTATAATAGACTTGTGCAAGATGTTAAAGATGGGCACCAAAAACAGATTGTATTCAGATCTCCATCCCCCCAGTGCAGTTCACTGCCTTCTCTTCCTGGCTTACATCAGATGCATTAGGCTCAGTGAACAAAATCAATTACCCTGCTCTGGCTGAAATAATCGCCTCAGTGTTTGCCATTAGTACAGGCAAAACAAACCGCAGTGACTCATTAAAGAGGGAGGCCAAAGCTGTCTCTCAGAAACTGACTCCTCCTGTTAAAAGAACAGTTCAGTGAGATCTCAACTATACAGTATACCCTTTACCCCAAATGTAGTTGATTAGCCAAGATTTATTTGGTGTCAGAAGGTTTCTTTAGTTTTCTTTTGGAGCTACAAGTCTAATGTTGCCCCTCAGGGGCCTCATGCAAGCCAAAATTCTTGGGGGGTGGGGGGAAGGGGTGGTGCAATAAGCAGGGGGCATGGGGGGCGCTTCCCCAGAAAAGAGAGATAATAATACTGCAATTTTCTGCAATTTGACATATATTTATTTGAAGGCTTTGGGGGGATTATTTAAAAACTTTACTAAATCAGTTTTTGTTCCTCAGTATTCTCCCACTTTATGTTAGGTTGAATACTTTATATTTATTTAGAGATTTTCGCATCAGTTATTTGTGCTATTATGTTTGAACATCACACTCACTTCATTAACTTCTATGCTTACACTGTTGACACTTTCATGAAAAAGAACTAAATCTTGTCTGTATCACCCAAAAAGGGGCATAAATTAAGGGACATAAATTCACGAAGGAACCTGCCAACATGGTAATAGCTGTATTTTCAAACCCAACGCACAGGAAACAGCGTGAGTGCAAATGAGACTGCTCACTGCCAGAGGATTCACACTGCTCTCTTTTACACATATTAAATAGGATGCTGTACTATCACAAGTCACAACTAGCTAGCGAGCCAGAAGGCTAAACAACCCAATTGAGGGATAGCTACTAACTTTAACTGGTATTAGCCATGACCAACTATTTGCAAGGCAAACAATGCCTATATTTCTCAAATGCACATAAGTGTGTATAACTAACTGCATTTCATTTTCACGTTTGAAAAAGGGATTGATGCTCTACTAAACACTTCAGCAACACATCATTCATTAACTGTTCAGCACTGATGCGCACAGAGTGCTGAGTGTGTCTGTACCTGCTGTTGTGAACTGATTTCATCCTGAAAGAAACCAGAGAAAGAAACCAATACAATAAGGAAAGGGGTGTGTGTGACTTTTTGAGGTATGATCTATGACATAACTGGAAGAATACGCTTGACCCATAATGTAAAATAAAATATTATTTTTTTATAATATGTATAATATGTATAATATTTCATAAAACTACATATTATAAAAAGAATAAACTAAAATAAAAATATAAAAATGCCAAAAATCTGGTGGGGCACGTTCCACCCAGCTTCAGTGAGCATAATGTGCCTGTTGCCGGTGTAGTTACAGTACTGTGCAAAATTAATTTACTTCATTTCCAGGTACTCCACTTGCATGAGAAAGAGGAAGGTCAAAGGAAAATAAGTGGGAAAAAAACAGCAGTTTCCAAAATTGAGTTCAATAAATGAATAAAACCTAAAGAAAATGGAGCTCCTAACAACCATGCAAGACTTGGTAGGCCACCAAAACTGTCCCCATTAGATAAACAGTACTTAAAGCTTTAATCTTTGAGAGAGAGGAGAAAATCAAGCTCCACTCTAAGTTCAGACCTGAAAAGTCCACAGGAGTTTCTGTCCATCCTTCCACTGTGAGAAG